AGCCTAAACAATAATTTTAAAAAAATCTAGTGTGGTTTCCTTTACATTTCTGGTCATAATAGTTTTGTCTTCCAGAGAGTGATTATCTTCTAGAATTCAAAATAAAGACACAGCTGCCTGTGGCATCTCTCCCATGAGTATAGACAATTTACCCTTCCACAGTGGTTACAGCTCAATGGCATAAAATGCCAGCTCACTTATTGTCTATAAGAATTTTTCAGAGTTTCATGTGGATTGTACAATACTCCTTGAGATTTGTCAACAGTAGATGTTCAGGGAAAATAACCTTTACAATTGAGAGTGGCAATCCTGAACATCTTGCCCCCAAAGAAAAGCACATTCCAATTTTCCCGCCATTTTGACAAAATAGATACAGAAACATTATCTCAAGTGACCCTAGAAATAAGGACCTTGTTTAATGAAACTCCCACATGGGTTACACTGGCACAGTTTCCTTCAGTGATGTACTTCCTTTTTAATTTCTACCTCTTTTTAAAATGTTCTCTTTGCTAAGAAGAAAAGAAAAAGGACCTCTATTGCAGTTAAGAAGTGTGGTAGCCAATGGCTATATGCCCGGATCCAGAGCAGAAGTAGGTTAGGCACACTGCACAGAGTTCAGAAGCATTGTGTGACCTTCACCGTGTGGGCCTATGGTCATTTCTAGGCTGAGGAAACTGGAGTAAAAAGAGGAGAAAGATAGCAACAGAAATAAATGAGTAAATGTCTAGACATTTTCTCATTTAAGCCTCACATCAGCCCTGTTAAGCATATATTGTTAATTTTGTAAACAGAGAGCATCAAGGATCCAGCTAGAAAGTGTCAAAGCTAGAAAGTGTCAAAGGCCCAGGTATTTTTTCCTAAATATTGGATAATAGCAAGTAACATTCCCAGAGACATGAGAAGCAGACCAGATGTTTGCGTTGTCCTGTTCTTATTGTTTGTGTCATGCTCCAGGGCCTGATCCTCTCCTCACCATTCTCTACCTTTCCCTAGCCCTCTCCCCGTGCAGGTACCCAAGACAGGGTAACTGTCTGGGAGAATACTTGGTACTCTAAAGGTGCAAGAAAGGAGGAAGGAAAGATCTTTCAGAGCAGAGCGGGGAGATCTCTCTTTTCATGAACCAGCCCGAGTGGCAGTTGTGAAACTCGGATTTCCCCAAAATTAAGTCAGGGGCACGTTGTTGCTTGTCATGTGGCTTCAGTTCAAAGTTACACCTGCTGGGGCCTCTTGTAAAATTTTCCTATACGAAGCCACAAACGTGGGACTCAAAATGGAACTTGCCACTTCTGAAATGCTGAGCAGGGGGAAAAAATAGCCCTGTTTTTATGAATTGAATATATGGTGTATGTCACGGGGAGGAAGTGAACTGTATTACCTTGAGCTTGCACCTCCTGTCAAGGCCAAAAGGTTAATTTTCATGCTCAAGGTTAATAATACAGTTATTTGTGTTTAGATATCAGTGTAACATGACTGATTGGGAAAGCAGGTGCCGGAGTGATGTAGCATGCCTGAGACTCATGGGTCATGTCACTGATTTACAAGCCACCCTAACCAGGAAATGGAAGCCAGAGCTAACTCCATGCCACACAATTTGCACTACTCACTGAAAGTGTGGATAATTTCAGCTTGTGCATTTGCAAAACAGTCCATGCCATTTTTTCTTTAAACATCCTTTGTGCTTGGTATTTCTGACTTGCCTAAATAAATATTATCATGCATAATTACCATTACCAGCCCATTAAAATATGGACAGTTTTTAGTCTAAATCCATGAACGAGGGCCTGTGACTTCTGCTTGTGTCTTCAATAAGCATCTGAGTTCTCACAGCTGTCATGATTTCTACTACACATAGAAAATCAGAACTTTGCCTTCTTCAGAGGTTAAAACTCACTCAGAAAAATAGAAGCACTTCTTCAAACACTGCTATTGTTTTTCTTTCTTGTGTCTCAGTATGTTTGGTTTTGATGAGAGTAAGTGATAAAGCCCTGTGCTAAAAGGTAAAGAGCTTTTGTTCAATCAAGGAAGTTCAGTTAGATGAACTTTTCGAGTCCACTGAAAATTTCTCCCACTGGCCTGCAGTGAGTTTAGGCAGGAGATTATAAACAGTCTACCACTAGGAACTAAAGCTCAAATCACACTTAACATTGGTACAGGGTCAGTGACATCATTTTCCCATACAAGACACATGCAGAAAAATCTGAGAAACATCTGGTCTCTTCTGCCTGTTGTACAGCTTTCTGTCTACTTATATATAATGAACTAACCCAACAGAGAGAACTCCCGCACACTGACCTACGCGCCCACTGCTCTGCAAGAGACTCAGGCTTATCAAGTCAAACACAAAGTGAAGTGAAGCCTATACTTAAGGTTTCTCATTCAAAATCTTTCATCTTTCTCTTTACTTTCAGTTACCAATCATAATAAACTTTGTAAATACAGTTTTTGTTCATGGTTTCACACACCCTTTTTTAGTCTTCTTCCTATTCCAGTGCTTAGAGCTCTTTAGTAAATACTATCCTGTCCCAAATTTGGAGTCCTCATCTCTTTGCAAAACAAGCATCGAGCTTCTAGTATTAGATCTCAAGCATATTTATCCGTAACAGGGTCAGACCTGTAAACCTTAATCCAAAGTAAAAATTTGTGGAAATCAACCTTCTTATTCATTCTTTATTTCTCCTGACATTTTTTATGACTGAGATATTAAGTATATCTTCATTTCCTGATGAAAGCAGAAAAATTATTCCAAATGCCTTGTGAAAGTCCTTAGTGATTTAAACTCTGTTTTCCAGGTGAGCTACACTTTTCTTGCTCCAAATTTATCTGGGTAATTACAGGCCTCCAGACCTTTGGTTGTTTGTCCCATTTGTCCAGAGTTTGCTTCTCCACCCTTCCGTGTTTCACTACCTTATTCCTTCTTCACGTCTGTCTTGGGATTTCTCTTCTGCTGGGCAGTCTTCCCTGGAGGCTGGGTGACAGCCTCTGTCTGATGCAGTCTATTCCTGGTCCTGTCACCTATCATAGTACTTATCACAGTGTGTACAGCTTCCTGGTTACTTGTCAGTATCTCCCTCCTCTCCAGGAAGACTTGCATGGAGTACTTACTGCTCAGCCAACAACCAAAACTCTCCTGGTGTCCCCATTAGTAACTCCCATAGGTGGTCATTATTTGCAAGGTCTGTCTTCATGGTAGCAGCAGATTTGCTTGCATCAAAAATAACTCAGCTGCTAATACACAAACTTCTAAGCCAAGCAGAGAACTTAAGTGTCATCAATGTTTTCCCTTCTCCTTCTTTGTTTTTTTCTTTCTGGTACTCCCAAGTTAATACACTTAGCATTTTCTAATCTGCAAAGACCTATAACCTCTGTGTTACTAAAGGAGGGAGCCACCTAGCTGCTGCTTATCTAACCGAGCTGGGGTGCTGAATTCTCACATTTTTCTTGGATAAGAATCTAGGTGAATCTCCTGAAATAGTTGTTTAAAAATCAACCCAGGTGGAAAACAACAGGAATATCCAATGGAGTAAAAGATAACTTTTATTTAATCTAGACTTTGTATTTAAACCTATTGGGGCTGTTAAACACTGGAAAAGTAAACTAAACTTATAGATAGAAGGCTATGGAATTTGGCTGGGCTTTCAAGAGAATCTCAGTATACTCCTATACCAATGACTGCCACTCAAGGTTGATAAGATTCGGTTTACTTGTAGAATGGAGCTGAGCCACTTACAGAATATCAACATATTTCTGCTAGTGGTAATGATTCTTCAAAATGGTGTTATGTAAATTGAGATTTGTTACAATCTTGCCTAGAAATAGTTTGATTTACTTACCAGCTCACAAAGACATTGATATCTAACTTGAACAATTGAAAATGATTTATTTATCTTGAAAACCATGGACCAATGTGTCTCAGCACATATTGATTTTTATTTAAGCCTCTGTCTCTCTTTAGACACATAATGGGTGAGAATTTACTAGGTTTGAATAAAGAATACCAATTAAAAACTTTTACTTCCTTTTTTTCATTTGATGGTGGTGGTACTGGGAATTGAAGATTCCAATGCTGAGTTACATCTCTTCCCCTGATGCCTTTTTTTTTTTTTTTTTTTTTTTGAGTCAGAATGTCAGTAAATTCCAATTTGCCCAGGCTGGGCCAAAATATGCAATCCTGCCTCAACTTCCCATAGTGCTAATATTACTGATGTGTGCTACCAAGCCTGGTATTTTTCTTTAGAAGATTCAAAGAATGAATCTTTTCACTTCCCCAAAGTCTTGTATCAGGATAAAATTATACTATTTGAAGAAATTATTATCAAATTTTTCTCTAAAGCCTTCTTTTAGGGATATTATTTGTTCTCTCTAGAGTACTTTCCACTATATGCTATTTGTTACATTAAATTCTATCATTTCAATAAGTAACCTCCTGAAAAAATACCAACTCTGAAGAAAAAGAGAAATTGGCAAAAAAAAAATCAAGTTACATATAATCAAATCTTGCTTTGTTATTTAAATTCTGCTCTTGCTTATGGATCTATAGTAGTTTATAAAAAGTCTTTTAAAAATTTAAAAGTCTCAAATTACTAAGAAGGGATATTATTTTAGTGGAAAATAGCCATATGGTTTTCTGGAAAGGACTATAGCAAAAGAAATAAATTTTAATTAGAAGCAGGAAAGATTGGGTTACATACAACAAAAGCCAAAAAAATATGCTCAACTCCAAGGGTAAGTGAAACCACTGGCTAGAGGGTTCCAGGGTAGGACAGGGAATAATTTTCCTAGAATATTTTATGTCTTTAGCAGCTTGGATGGACTCCCCACTCTATCCAGATTCATCCTTGGGAACACAGCATACTGGTGGGATGAATGTTACTAGTAAAAGAGCTCATGTGATAAAGACAGCTATGGCTATAAGCATAAACTTGCCTTATCCCAAAGCACAAACCCTAACGTTTGTTGTTTGTATGACTCTAAATGCAACATGTGTATGGGTTGCTTTGCAGCTAAAGCAGAGAGATGCGGGAGTGACCTGAAGTCCCTGCTGTCCTCCTCCTCAGGCTGGGTTGTAGGAGACCTGTGGATCGCGGCCCTCACTTTTGAAGGGAAAGGAAGCATAGATCTAATAGAAGTAACTTCCTGCTCCAGGAGCCCCAAGTAACAAGCTTGGAAATGTGGGAGACTCCTGGAAGAGGACCATCCTACTTCCTGGTTAGCAACTATCTCACCAGCTACAAAATATGCCCGTGGTGGAGACATAAAAACCGGTGATAAGCCAATCATCTTTCTCCTTTTATAAGGGTTTACTTTGTGTCTTTGGGGCCGAAAAAGAGTATTCTTTAATTTAGTTTTCAGGTAACACAGGTGAATTTTTGGGTAAATTTCTTTTGTGTTACCTGATAAAAGAAAAAGCAGATATGATCTTTGTGAATTCAATAACCAACACTCAAAAACAAAACAAAACAAAACACCCCTGCCCATCACAGATTGGACTGAAGAAAACTTAAGTCTACAGAGATAAAACTCATTTTAAATCAAGGACAGGACATGTAAAATCTAGCACATAAAGAAGCAAAGACAGAAATAATTTACACCAGGGATTGCAAGCCACAATTGTGAAAAATGGAAAAATTTCTTAACATTTTTGATAATCAAGGAAATGCACATTAAATCAATGATGTATCATTTAACTAAATTAAGAAAAATTAAAACATGTCAGCACCTTTAAAGGGCACAGTGTTAGGGGAATAGACTTACTCATACAATGCTGGTAGCAATGTTATTGAATCAGCTTTCTTTAAATTGGTCTGGAAAGATTCTCACAAGCACTGTAATTATCTTCAAACCACTCCATTCCTGAGAATTTATATTAAGGTTCAATTTATCATGAAAGTTATTCAAAATGAGAAAGAAACCCATCATTTTTAGTCCTATAAAAATAATAAAATGAAAGTACCAGTAGTATCATAATGTATCAAGCTGATACAATATTAACTTATAAGAAGAATTGTTGAATTTATGTTGTAACATACAAATATGTCTAAAAAAAGTTAGAATCGTCATCACATATACACAGTGACAACAATCCTGTAAAAAAAGAGAAAATGAACATACTTGGGATAAAACTGAGCACAAAAATAAAAACAGTTGTTGTGTAAAGAAAAAAATATTTTTCTAATCAACAATAGTGTTATAAAAATTCTTAAACAATTCTTTTGAAGTCAAAAGTAAAAGTCAAGAAGTCCAATTAAAAGACATGAAATTTGAAAATAAAATTTTAGCTAGCTAAGAGCTCACGGCTGGAGCTCTAGCATAACAAGGTAATCTTTTCTGGATCTTAAACAAAGAGAACTACATGATTTGAAGGTTACTGTGGACATTGCAAATTACTGTGGACCAAAGGAAAAGCTATTAAAAGTCTCAAAGAAAACCCAGTAGTTTATCTTATATACTCCTGACAAAAATAAACATTTATTTTTTTTAAAATGCTACCTTCTTAGAAAAAAAAAAAAAAAGAATGCTAAGTGTTTTGGGGTAAAATGTTCTTGTTTCCAATGCTGTTTACAATACTACTAATACTCAGATAAATACTAGCAATAGTCATTATAGGGATTTTTCAGTATCCTAAGAGAATAAATAAATATATCATTTAAAAAATCTCTCAAGACTTATTATTTTCAGGTAATATTCTTTATTATGTTATTATTTTTAATTAGAAAAAGCTTGGAAATGTGATGCTTGTTTTGCCTAGAGGGATTTACTTCTAGAAGTTTGTTTTAGCTTTTATTGCCCATAGGTACATTTGCTAATTAATGATATTTTAGATGCAGTTTATAGCTTTTTCAGGAGTTTCCATGTATGCGTCCTCACTTGATTCTGGCTCTCTTAGCGGCCCTGCATCTTTCTTGTCTCTTGGGTGAGAAGCAGGAGGTCAGGTGACCTGCACAGGGTCATGTGACAGCCAGTGGCTGAGGCCTTGTAGAACTTAGGTTCAGGGACTGGGGATTTAGCTCAGCGGCATAAGCGCCTGCCTTGCAAGCAGGCAGTTGTGAGTTCGATCCCCGGTACTGATAAAAATGAAAAAGACAAAAAAAAAAAAAAAAAAAAGAATTCATGTTCATCCACTTAATCATTCCAGGCATATGGGGAAGGAGGAAAGGGTCCACGCTGGCTCTTCCTCTGGTACTATCATCTTTTGTTCTAGGTGATGAGTGCTTTTTCAAACACAGTATGGTTAGAAATTGGATGAGGAACATAGTGAACTGTGGGACAAGAAGTCACCAGACCTCCTCTCCCAAGACCATAATATGTCATGTCAAGAGCAGAAAATGGGGCTGGAATGAGGCAATTTGAAATATTACTACATTAATATCTATAAAAATTATGATGTAAATTAAAAGAAACCAGAAGTTTATAAAGGCATCTGGTTGATTTAAGTATGCTTTTATAGCACCTTTTTAAAGGGAGATTAGAAAACCTCAAGATGATATCAAAGTCAGTCAGTATGGAAACTATTCCTCAGCTGACCATTTCCCTTCCAAGCTCCCTGGACTTCAAAGAAACAGCTCAGCAATTTAGAGAAGAAATATACAGGGCCCCGTGCACTTTCTTGAGGGTAGACTGACAGATGCAGGTGAGGCATCTAAACAGCTAAGCCAGCAACAACGCTCACACTCAGCCTAGGACTGTGTAAAGTCTGCTTCATTAAAAGTGCCTTCTATTGTTGTCTTTGCTAAATTGCTGAGAAGAGGCAGTGACCTTACACCTAATCATGTCAACAACTCAGTGTTAATTCTTCTGTTTGTAGTAATGTGATTCAGAACTGCTCCAAGTTGGACGACTCTTCCCGAGGACTCTGACTTCTCTAGAATTGAAAAACAGCACAAAGTGCCCTGGCTTCAGCTTTTGGTCGCTGACTAAGCACTTTCCAAGCTGCCTCCAATTGAAAGACAGACAGGGGAGTCTGAGGAAATCCTCACTCAGCCAAATCTATCCCAGATGAGAAGGCAAACTTAATAAGAATCAGCCGTGAGCTGCTGGCATGCAGCCTCTAGAATGCACGCGATTTATAGCCAACACGGGCTGCAGAGTTTTCTATCCTAGTCTCTCTTTTTCATGCTAAAAATGTTTTTTTAAATGCATGACCAAATGTTAATTTCAGCTAGTAAAAGCAAAGGGTAGAGATGGGGAGTGGGCTCAATAACCTTATGGCATTTATGGGAGACCCTGGTAGGAGATGAGAACTTGAACAATTTAGATTTCATGACTACAAAGAGTGAACAAACAAGGACCCAAACAAATATTGCACAGGTTAGAGCAAGGTAATTACCAGATGCTGTAAAACTGAGGTGCACTGAAAGCTTAAATCTTGTTTTCCATTCTCTTCCAGTGCCTTTCTTTGTAGAGATAAAATGATCTCAAAGTGTGAACACATCATGTGATGCTGCCTGACTTCCTACTGATAGGGTAGAGCTATAAATATTTACTTAGTACTTTACCCTAAACCCACAAGTAATATATTAATAGGGTCTTGAAAAATTCAAGCAATATATAGATAGAGCTGAAGTTCCTCTTGACTAGTCTCTTCTACTTCATGGAACCTGGTTATCACTATATATATATATATATATAGTGTTTAAATGCCAAGAAGATGTTCTGAAATATTATATAAGATTTTCTTGGTTTTTAAATGTACAAGGGGTGTGAATGGAACACAAACATTTAAATTAAAGAATTAGTACAGTGAAAGACATAGTGCCATTAATCTCCCCCAAATATTCTTCTTTATTTCAAATATACTTACCCCATCTTTCTTGCCACTTTTTGAAGCAGTTCTGAAAGTCCTTTTTTGTGTGTCTTTATGAAATACCATTTTAAAAATCCAGGATATGTTGCTGCCGAGTACCATGCAGTGGAAAAGGCAGGCTCTGAAAACAATACAGTGTGTCCCTATGCACATCCTTCAGGGAATCTGGGCTGTGCACATTCTGGCTGCTCCTCAAAGTCAGAATGACTGAAAGGTAAACATTTTTAACTGATATAAGACATTAAGGCAGCCACGACAGCACAGCTAAAGGCACTCAGGAAAAAGGCTCAGAACTGTCTCAGGAAGTGGCAAGGAAGACAGAATAAGTGCGTTTGAAGGAAAATGAATGGCAATGTGTCTTTTACTATAATACGTTTTCAAAAATTTAAACACCGCATACTTTTTTTTTATACTTTTGTACATTCCTACAAGTACACGTATACATACAAACATAGAGGAATAAACACAAAATGTCTTTGAAATAAATGAGTTAGTGCCTTATATGTGTTCGTCTTCAGTGTTTTTCTACTCCAACATATGTTGGGATAGACCAGCATGTACAGGTCTCATTCTTTCTACTTGCTGTATAACAGATGACAGGCATAGCCCATAATTAATTCTCTATGAGTTTACAGTTTTGTTATCCACTGACATTTCATATTTTTTCGCCATTTCCAATATTGTAAAGGACATTGTTGTACCTGTCCCCATTATCACATAAGCAAGTGTTTATTTAGGGTGGATGTGGAGACAGAGATCTTCTAAGTTAAAAGAAATGAGATTTTGACATTTTAAATATAGAGACACTGCCAAAAAACTCTTCCATTAAACATTTTTTCCCCATACTTTTTAATAGCATAATAATATTCGACTTTTGACAATTCGATGGATTAAAGACAAAGGGAGAGTTCTTTGTTTCAATTTGTATTTCCCTAGTGGTATTATAAGCACTTAAAAATAGGTTTTAATTTCCTTTATTTGCTATGTAAGCTCATGTTATTAGGAAGGGCAATTGTGAATTCTAGTTGGGTTGATTAACTGGGGATGGTAGTTGGCGCTCACATTGTTCTAGTTTCTAAATTTATCTAATTGTGTGTGATCAGCTCTTGTGGCTTACGTGATTTCTGCTTTTCAGAATTTTATGAAATATATTTCATGATCTAAATCTTGACCTGTTTTTGTAATTGTTCCATGTATGTTTAATGTATATTCTTTGTTTATCAGTTTCTTTCTTCTCCTGTACGTTCCTGAGGACCAAACCCAGAGACTTACCCATACTAGGCAAGCATCTACCACAGCATTCCCTCTCCATCCCTGTTTTCTTGAACTAGCAATTTCTAGGAAAAACATAATAAATATTCCCCTACATAACATTAATTTGTAGATTTGTATTTATATTGTTTTAAATATTTACATGTTAAATGAATCACAATGTGTGAACATTTTATCTTCTTAGTACATATTTTTAATCAATGTGAAAATATTCCTTTATGGTCCTTATAGTTTTTCTGTCTTAAATTTTATTTTGTCTGATATTTATATGCTAAAATTACTCTCCTTGTATTAGACCTTGCCTGGAATGTCACTGTTTTCCAAACTTCTGAGTTCTTTTGAACATACAAGTTTGCAGTGTCCCTAGATTTTGCCGTAGTTCTTTGTTTTAATCATTTTGTACTGCTTTACTGCCTGCTCTCTGTTTACCTGTGATTTTAAATTATCTCTTATCCATACAATGGCATGACTTCTTTCACAGGAGTGCTAAAAAAGAGTGTTGAAATATGCGTGTTTTCTGTTACTTAAGCCAGGAAGGAGAGATGCCCTTTATGTTCAGGCCGCCATATTGATTGAGTTCTGCCTTTCCTAACACAAAATTTCTTTCCCTGTGTCTTCTCCACAGCATTCTTTCCTTCAACTGTGGTGGATCTGGATACTGAAGCTATTGTGAGAGCAGCAGTGCAGAATAGTTTGTGGATAATGTACCCACTGCACACCTTTTGAAAAACTACTTTGGTGTCCATTTCTTCATGGCCCACATGTTGATTTCAGGCTGAGCTACAACTTACTAGCTTGCAGTATTGAGTAACAGCTTTCCCAGCTCTGTTATTTATCTTTCCCATCTCATTCCCACAAAGATCCGTTTAATTTATAAACCGTCCATTTTACACTGCACTGTCAGTGACATCACATATTGACATTCTTCTGGGTGATTTATTGGCAGTACAAACACCCCAGTTTTTTCCATGGAAACAAATATGTTTGAAGGCCACCAATTAGATTATGGGCAAGGCCTGACACAAACTAAGTGCAACATAACTTTTAGTGATTTTCCATACTTAAAAGAAGCATATATTCTTTTTATGTCAAAAAATAAAACTCACAATAATTCACAAAGGATTTGAACTTCCTTGCTTTCTTATTTAAAATATTTTCATCTCACTTTCTATATTTTACCTTTACACATCAAAGGAGGTTTATTTTTATGCATAGGTCATAGCAGGTTTACTTAGATTAGAACCGCCATATGACATTTGAGATGTTTTGTCACTTCTTTAAGTTGTTCCATTGATCGTGGCCACAGCAGGTATCAGAATATAGACAGCCTGATTCCAGCACTCTATTTATTCATAGATTTAGTTTTACAAGAAATTTAATTTTATCTTATCTGCAAACTACTAAAAAAACTGGGAAACAAAATCAATAGTAATCACTTATTACCTCAGAATTTATAGGGAAGAACTTGGAGTAGAAAAGAGAAAGATTTATCTAAAGTTTGACGTCAGGAAATGTCAGAAGAACCTGGCGTCTTTCCTTCCAGGCTTGGCCACCTCTCATCACTGTCTCCAACATCTCATAATCTCTCCACATTCTTAAAATGCCTTAAACTGCCTCCACTTTCTAAAAGGATAGTTTTGCTTTTCCAAGGGACTATTTCATCCCTGTAAGAACATGAACTCTGGGGTTTTTTAAAATTGCAAAACATGAAAGTCTCCTTGATTGGTAATGACCTTAGAAAAAAATACAGTGAAATCTGAGAACCAAGTAAATTAGAAAATGATTTACCTGTTATTCCAATAAAATAAAAAATATAAAACACAACGTTGCCTTAAATTCCTTTCAGCTCTTTGTTAATTGTTTTATTGTATGTGGAAGTCCACTCAATCCTTAATCTGTCCCCAGCTCCCGTCACATGGAGAGCACAGCAGGGTCTCAAGCAAATATTTAGACCAGAAGTTTGGGCTCCATCTAACACCTATGGAGCCCTCTCTCTGCTTCTAAATCTTGAGAAGTTCTTTTATCTCTAACATATTCATCACCTCTTTTACAATTTTCAAACTATAGCCAGTAGACTGGCCAAAGGTTTTTTTTAAAAATTAATTTGAAATGGTACACTTTTGCCATATATTATGATCACATTCATTGTAGGAAATTTGTACTTGTACTTATTGTATCTTAATTCTTTTCATACTCCTCCCTCTTCCCTTTAACCTTTCTTCCCCTTTCCAATTATAAAAACTTTGTTTCCATTGTTTTCCTTTTACTCTTTTTCTTAAAATTTCTATTTCCTCACCCCTCTCCTTTCTTCCCCTTCCTATTTGAGTATTTTCTTCCTACTTCCCAATATCTATCTTCCATTTTTGCTATTTATTTATTCTTCGGATTTCTCACACAAGAGGAATAATGTAGTATTTAAACACCTGTGTAAAGGTTCTTTCACTTAAAAGTATGGTTCAAGTTCATATATTTACCTGTAAATGTCTTAAGTTTATCATGCTTTACGGCAGAGTAGTATTCCACTGTATATAAAAATCGTATTTTCTTTATTCACTTATCTTTTGCTGGGCTGTTACCAACTTATTATAAATTGTGTCTCTATGAACATGGGTGCAGATATATCACTGTGCTATGATGTGTTTAACTCTTTCAAGAAGATGCCAAAAAGGGGAATAGTTGGGTCAAATGGAAACTCTAGTTTTAGTTTTCTGAGGAATCCTCATACTAATTTCTATAGTGCTTCTGCCAGTTTACACCCCCACAAACAACGTAGAATGGTTCCTATTTTCTGACATCCTTTCCAGCATTTATTATTGGTTGCTTTCTTGATAATAGCCATTCTTTCTGGATTGAGGTAAAATCTCAGTGTTGTTTAAATTTGCATTTCACAAATGATCAGTGATGCTGAGCATTCTTTCATACATTTATTTGCTATTTCTAATTCCTTACCTGAGAAATGTGTATTTCAGATGCCCATTTTTGAAGTGGGATATTAAATTTGGGGTCTGATTTTTTTCAAATTCTTTATATATTCTAGGTAGTAGTCCTTTGTCTGAAGAATAGTTTGAAAAATGTTCACCCAATCTGTGGGTTGTTTTTTCACTCTTCAGTGGTTTCTTTTGCTGTGCAAAAAGTTTTTTAATAAGAAGAGATCCCAGTTGTTGGTTCCATGTAATATTTCCTTTATAGTTGGTGTTTTGGTCATAAAGTTTTGCCTATACTTATGTCTTCAAGAGCTTGACCTATTTTCCAGAAGATTATGTGTTTCTGTTTTAGTGTTGGAGATCACAAATTCACAACGGTTAATTTTTCATCCTTCCCTAAGGGATAGAATGGAGGTTTGGGATTATCAGTACCATCCAGTTGAGATTCCCCATTAACTCTTCCAGCTACTACGACTAAAACTAAATCTAAAGAACACTCCAGGGCAAAGTCCTTCTTAGTATAAGATCATCTCTGCCCTTTTGAGTGATCTCAAAATTATACTTGCGCATTGAATCACAGGCCTCTGAGTTTTCTGCCAAGTTTGAATTTTTCACTATCTCTGTCTATCACTGTCTACATCCAATAAACAGTGACTGTCGTGAGGGTGGCTTCCTTGGCCCTTCTGGAGACACTGACTTCCCAGTCACTCACCATCTATTACTAAATTTGTCTCTGTTTCTTATTTTATCCTCTCACCATACATTTAACACAGACAACTAGGGCTCTTTGCTGGGTCCCAGTATTTTAGTATTTAGATCTTTGAAAAGAATGCATACTGGTGTTTATAGCAACACAATTTGTAATAGCTAAATCTTGGAAGTAGTGCGGATGTCCATTAATAGATGAATGGATAATGAAAACATGGTTTTTACATGCAATAGAGTACTACTCTGCCATAAAGAAAGATAAATTTGAGACATTTCTAGGTAAATGAATACACCTTGAGGCTATCCTCACAAGTGAAATAAATAGGACACGTGTGTTTAAAAATCAGATTATTTTTATTATATGAGGAATGGAAAGGGTAAATAAACAGCAAAATGAAGAATAGATATTGGGAAATGCTGAAATGGAGCTGGGTGTGGTAGTGCAAGTTGATAATCTCAGCACTTAAGAGGTTAAAGAAGGAGGAAGATACTGTGAGGTCGAGGTCAGCCTGGGCTACCTCATGAGTTCAGATCCAGCATGGTCTATATAGTGAGTTCAAGACCAGCCTGAACTTCTCAGTGAAGCCCTATCTCAGAAAAAGAAAAAAGGAAAAAAAAAGAAAGAAAGAAAGAAAGAAAGAAAGAAAGAAAGAAAGAAAGTCAAACGTGAAGGGGAACAAGGGAGAGGATCACAGGGAAAGGGGAGGAAAGGAAAGGGAAAAGAAAAAAGAATGGAAAAAAAATGAAAACAAGACTTTTGTAAACAAATAGGGAAAGAAGGGTTGAAAGGAATGGGGGGTGGATGGGGAAAAAAGAAGACTCAAAAAATGTTCTGTATAGATACAAGTTCCTTATGATGAGTGTGATTATTATGTAAGTCAAAAAGTACCAATAAAATTAATTAAATAAAAAGAAAAGTTTCATCCAATAAAAATTAAACCTTTGATCCATTTTGATTTTAGTTCAGTGCATGGTGAGAGATATGAGCCTGGATTTAATCTCCAGCATGGGGAAAGCCAATTTTTCCAACAGGATTTATTAAAGAAACTATCTTTCTTCCACTGAAGGTGTTTGGTATCTTTGTCAAAGATAAGATAACTGGGAATGCTTGGAGATGTTTCTGTATCTTTTATTCTGTTTCATTGATCCTTAGGTTTTTTTTTTTTTTTTTTTCAGACTATGCTGTTTTTATCACAGCAGCTTTATAGTATAATTTTGAGTCAGGAATTGTGATGTTCCTGCTTTGTCTTTGTTGCTCAGAACTGTCTTTCCTACTCCAGGTCTCTTATTATTCCATATGAATTTTAGGGTTGTTTTCTCTAGTTCTGAGATGAATGCTCTTAATATTTTGATTACGATTGCATTAAATCTGTATAAAGTAGAAGAATTGGCCAAAAGTTTTTGTAGATAAAAATGTTTTATTTGAACACAGTCAGGCTCATTCATTTACAATTATCCTATGATTTCCTTCCTTACAAAGGCAGAGCTGACTAGAAATAAAAGCTTGCATGACCTACATAGTAAAGCCTATGTTTACTATCTGGTCTTTCACAGAAAAAGTATGCCAACTATTGTGTTTAGAATCAACTTATTGTCTTTTATGATCAACCTGGAATTGAGCCAGAGTCCACTGCACAAGCTTAGCTAGTACATAAATCAGCAAGCAGTATAATAATGTTGCATTGAATGTTGCATAATTTTCATAATTTGAATTTTATGAAATGCAGGGCTGAAGGTATAGCTCAGTGATAGAATACTTGTTTAGAACATGCAACATTTCATGTATATAATCTCTTCTGATTTTCCCAATAACCCTAGAAAGTAAACAAGCTAATATTACTGTTTCATGAAGAAACAGATTTGAAGACATTACATAATATACCAGGTTAAATGGAGCTTAGATTTGATGCCTTTAATCTTTTAACACTGAAGTAATTCCTTTATGTCTGGAAATGCTTACCTTGTTAATACAAGGAGCAAGGTAGTGGTAGCAGTTGACATTTGGCATGGTACATGCACTGACTTGGAGCAAGCTGTTGGAAGATCACTTGAAATTAACTACACTTTGTAATATGTTGTACCTTCTAAATGCTGTATTTTTATGACAATATGCTGATAATCAAAATAATATAAAATTTTCTCTAATGGTTTTTCAAAACTCAAAATAAACATGAACCTAATTAAGAATAAGTTAAAAATACAACTTTAATTATTTGAAATCTTAGAACCTGCAAAATGAGTCAGCTAACTGTTGTCTCTTATATTGACTAAACAAACAACCAAACCTCAAAGCTCCTGGAGTAACAGAGAAAAATGCCGGTACAATTATGAATTTGTGAACTTGGGAAGATACTGAAACACGGATAGAGTACTATGTAAATGGGTTGAATCATGTTAAGCTAAACATTTCAGTGAACCTATGTGAACCTAGAGATGGCTATTACCATTTGTTTTCTCCATCATCCAAAATTTGATCTATAATAAGCATGAACAATAATGACATATTTGCATGAAATTTTATAGATTATGAAACGTGGGGCTTAGAGCGTAGCTCTAAATGAATAAACAGCTAATGAGGAATTTCTAGGTACCACTCTCATAGCAGAGTAAACATTGATACAATATATTGTGTGATTCCAACTATATAACCCTCCATGAAAGCCAAATCTATGTAGGTAGCAAATGATCTGTGACTGCCAAGTGTTCACATGCAGAGGAGGGGCCTAAACACAGGACCTATGACTCTTAGGGCAGTGAAACTGCTCTGTGTGGTGCTATATTGGTGGACTGGTGGACTCATTTCATTTAACGTTTGTCAATACCCATAGAATGTACAACACCAGGAGTGAACTCCAATTTGAACCAAGGACTTTGGGTGCTAATGATGTGTCCACCTAGGTTCACTGACTGTAATAAATGTGTCACTCTGCAAAGGGACATTCATAATGGAGGCGGCTGTGCATGTGTGAGGGGAGGGGTGAATGGAAAATCTCTACCTTCAGAAGATCAATATTGCTGGGAACCTGAAACCACTCTAAACCGTAAGGTCTGTTTTTTTTTTTTTTTTTTTTTTAATTAGCAAAAAGGGCTAACAATAGCTACATCTCTGTATCTTCCTCAGGAGCTTTATAAATGTGTATTAAAATGTTTTGGGGAGCAAAGAGAAAGGCTTAGAATCCTTCCACTAGAATGGGTTCAGAGCAAAAATGAACTTACTTCACATCCGGATTGGACTTCCCATGAGCATGACTCCTTTTCTGGAGGGAGCATCCCTCTTTGGAAAGCATGGTCACCCAGGCATGACTGACATAAGGTATGCTCAAAATCAGACTCCCCTGGAGGGATGTGCACCCCCGAGGGGCCGGTGTACTTCAGGCTGGGACTCTGATGCTTGTCCACACTGACCATTGGGCTCTTGATCCATCTTCGTACCTGCAGAGTATCAAAGAAAGGAAAAAATTTTACATTTGACTTCCTTTGATGTTCAGTGAGGCTCTGGTGGAAAACCTCATGGAATGGATACACATGAAAGGATAATTTAGTCTTAAAACCTCCCAAGCTTTCACAAACTCCAAATTAGTGAATGCCGATCCGTCCCTGGCCGGCAGTGTGTGTGAGGGTACTGGTTTTATCTCTGCTTTCTCCTCATTTGTAAGATTGGGGTAGCATTTCCTCCCAGGTTGTAAAATTTACAATGTTTTCTCTCGTTTCATGTCTTTGCAGTGCTGAGGATGGAATTTGGGACTTTGTATATGGTAGACAAACACATTACCGCTGAGTTATATCCACAGCCTTGTGAGGTTGTCAAAGGTTAAGTGCTTTGTCTGGCACAGGGCTGGTGTTCAACAGGCGGTGGCTCTTTTACTTACAATTAAGCAGACAGAATGATAGTTCACGCATTTCTAAGGTAGGTTGCTAGCTATGCTGACTACAAAAAACACTAGCCCCATTGCTCAGTATCTATTAGTTTCTAAGCAAATTAATATGTTAAATTAATATTGCAAAAACTAGTTTATAGGGCCGGAGGTTTAGCTCAGCAGCATAAGCAGGCAGTCGTGAGTTCGATCCCCGGTAAAAGACAAAAAAAAAAAAAAAAACTAGTTTATAAAAGAAATTCTCTGGTTAAGAATCATCTCACCAGGTGTGGTGCACACCTGTAATTTCAGCACTGGAGTATTCCTACTAAGGCACATGTACACACACACACACACACACACACACACACACACAAATATGACTATCCTAATATTATAGGAAATGATAGTTTTAGCATTTTAAATAGCATAATACTTTTTTTCAGCATTGAAGACTGAACCCAAGGCCTTCTCACCAAGCTGCGTCCTCAGCATTTGTTAATTTTTTTTAGGTTGAATCAATGTTTATATAGCCAGGGTGGGCTGGAACTCATGAACTTTCCACCTCCTGCCCCAGACTCCTCAGTTTGAAATTACAGGTAAGTTTCACCATTCCTAGCTGCAAAGCACTTTTTAAAATATTTAACATGTATCATTCATTAAATCTTCAGAACAGACTTTCGAAATACATACTGTTACTAGTATCATTTTAGAGATGGGGAAACAGAGGCACAGAGGAATGAAGCCAGTTTCCCTAGGGTACAAAGAAGAGGTAGGGTAGGACACATGTGCCTTGAATCTAGAGCTTATACACCTGCAATTTCTGAGATGGCACCCAGACTGGCACCCAAAGCTTGGAATTCACAATGTCACTTGCATTCTTTAATTGACTCCTGCAGAGGCAGAGGTACAGCTCAGGGGTCAGCCCTTGATTTAGCACGTGCAAGAGCCTGGATTTAACCCTCAGTATGCCCTAAAAGAGAAGACTCTTACGGATTCTTTTATATTTATCAACTAGCAAAGTCAGCATGTAGCAAAATAAGATCACAGTGTTGAATTTTAGTGAGCAATGCTATAATTAGTTAAAATATGTACCAAGCACAGACTACAATTGTAATAGTGTAAGAAAGCTAACACTATTTGTCCTATCACTTGATAGAGTATTATGAAATCACCAAACACAACTATTATGAAGACTGGGATGATGTGGAAAATTTAAAACAATATCTGAAGAAAGATACAGAAATGTTTAATTGCTATAATTATAAAGGTTAAAAAATATATACTATTTATAGGTAAAGCAAGAGAGGTGAAATTGGTAATATTGTATTTATTATTACACTCACGAATATTCTATTTTTCTTCCTTTTATAACATAGTCTTAGTTTTTTAAGAATAATTGTATTTAAAGTTTATAAAAATCTTCAGCAATTAAAATCATCTTTCTTTGCTTGCACGTCTTTTAATTACTTTATTTACATGCACTTTTGTCAATAGGCATTTAAGAAGTCTGTTTGAGTTTGAGTTTAGTGCCCTAAGGTTAGCATTCGAGGTTTCCATCGGCACTTGTTAGCCATAGATCCTCATAAGTGTATCAGGAGGTGTATTTGAGAGCGTGCACTTGAGGGACTGGAGCTCCTGCTCAGTGGTAGAGCCTTCGCATAGGCTGCATGAGGCCCTGCACATGATTACCAGCACGGCTGAAAGAAAAGAATAAAAGTGTGTTTGATTAATGTACATTCATTCATGGAAGTTGAAGTGATACTGAAACTTTGGTGCCACTACAGAATCTCTTGTTCGGATGTTAGTCCTAATGTGTTTCTGATCAATCTAGAAAGTATTCAATTTCATTAGGGATGGAAAATATTTTTGATTATTTTTGTTCAGAGAGTTTTGAGCTTGAGGTTGATAATCATTCCTGCTTCATTTCCAAACCTGAATTTAAAGTTAATCTTTTAATTATGGCTTTCTTTCAGTATCTTTTTTGCCAAGGAGATTTAGCTTTCAGGTTATTATGGACTTTAACAGATCTATTTTCAAATATATTTGCAAGTTTATGGCCTGACTGATTAAGATTGTAGGTATCTTGAAATGCAAATATCCCCTGGTCACCCCCCATCCCCTAAATTTGCCCTATGGAGCTTGAATTATGGTTAGGGGTATATGTTTATTTATTACAGGATGCATTATTTACTAAATAAGTAAGTAAAGTCAGTATGGAAAATGGAGAGCAAAGCAGAAGTGGATGATTAGGGTGGTGGAGGTAGAAAGAAGGGCTTCAGAGGCCTCTTCTCAGGAAGTCCTGATAGAGGAGTGCAGAGCCAGGGCTAACAGAACTCCAAGTGAAGAGGCTCATGGCCAAACCTGGATTTCAAGAGGAAGATCCAAGCTGCAAATATAATTTGAAATTTAAAGCAAGTATCTATATCTCACTGAAATCTTCCAGGAAAGAAAATAAAACAAAACAGTGATTTCTGTAATTCTGTTTGGGAAGCATGTGCCTAGGTGTTAACTGTGTATTTCTGGGGATTTAATTATTAGAATTTATCCTATGCATTTAACTGAAGTTTAGAGAAATATAGGACTTACTCAAAGGTTCTAAAGAAACTTTTGTGCCTTACACAGTGTGTATTTTGTGTCTTATTTCATTTCACTGTGATGTGTAGCAATGGTTATTTCATTATTAAGGCCCATGACTTCAGATTTGTCTCACAAATAAACTCCTACTGATCCTTGGACATAGAAATAGGATCATCATGCCAGGGATATAGCTCGGTGGCATACTGCCTGCCTGGCAAGCACAAGGTCATGAGTTTGATCTGTGATACAAAAAGAAAAAAAAAGAAAAGAAAAAAGAAAGAAAGGAAGAAAGAGGTACAGAAGAGTACAAGGAAGGCAAATGGAGAAATATCCATTTCTTCAGAAGAATCAAACAGGGTGTTATAAAAATGGGTATCGTAGTACATTTTCTAACAGGACTGTTGCTGTTTTTATTTTTTGCATGGTTTGTCTTGAATATTTCTTCTCCCTTAGCTAAATTCTCAATTTGTCCCTTCCCTGTTACTCCCTGGAACTTCTCACTAGCTGGAGGGCTCACAAGTGATTCTTTTTGTTTGTTTGTTTGTGCGCTTGTTTTTGGTACCTGCTCACAAGTGATTTTTATAGTGCCCATTAAGGACAGGGTTTATGCTGCTTATATGAGCCCAGAGAGTGGCTGGAACTTGAGTAGACACAAAGGCCGCCCCTCTGGCCTTGGGATCAGGCGAAACTGCTGAGAGAGGAACCCTCTGTCTGGCTCGTTAGATAATTCAAGCTCCAACAGGCCCATTGTGCTTCTGGAAACCTGGAGTGGCTTTGAGGGTGGGGGTGACTGTGAGTGGCTAGGGAACCCCTCAGAGACCAGCACTAGAGGCCCCAGGGGAGCTGAGAGGCCGCCCTGGCTCTGTTGCCACCTGGGCCACATGGTCTGATCCGAGCTGTGAACCTGTTTGTGAAGAGCTTTGTAAACAAGCACAGACTGGAGCAAGACATCCTCCTCATCGCGAACAAATCTGGAATCCCCTCTCAGGGCTTACGGGAGCCTATTTCCCAGGTGAACCAGACCTCTACCTCCAAAGACTTTTAGGTGAAAAATTAAGGGCCAGCTTTTACCCCTCAGACATTCAAACAACAGTGTGTACCTAAACTATTAATCCAAATTCTTTCTAAATCCAGTTTGCTTTGGTTTTATTAATTTAGTTAAAAAAAAGTGCTATCCAAAAGCAATAATCCCTCAGACTAGAAGATTGCCAGATGTGATTAAGGAGATTGGCCAGCTTCTAGGGATTTTCCACTTGTGGGTTTTTTTTATCCTATTATGTAATAGCAAACAGATATGACTCTTCATTTAAAATGGTTTAGCTTATAATGCTATCAATGGATACAGAAAAAACGATAGAGCACCAGGCACTTAAATGTGAATCTGATGGCTGGACCTGCTGTTTTTGTTTTCTGATATAAAAAAGCTGTCTACTTTTCAAAAGCCTAGGGAACTTGAAGTGGAATGCAACTTATGCAGTTTTCGAAAAGATGTCTTCTTATTATATGAGATCACCTTTATTTTCAATTGAGATGTAGGCAACCCAGCTTTCTAGTGAAAAATCCTTGGCAGTTTGGTTGATTATAAAAGGTACCCCTCATACCTACTCCTTTTCCAAAGGAGTCCTGGGAGCCTCTAATTATGACAAATGTGATTCAGTAGAAGGCTTATGGCAGCAAAGTCAAGTCATCTCACTGGTGCTTGGAGTGGCTGCATAGCACATCTCCTAAAATATGAAAATACTGGAAGATAAGGTCACTAACAGTAACATATGATGTCTTCTTACACATAGTCATTATATGGTTTTCTTTTCTGTGGACATGTGCAGTGTTTATTGCTTGTATAAAACCACAGGAATTCTCTGCTAACTGGTTCTGTTACGTTGTCCTTGAATATTTCCAACTGGACTTGTAAGGGTAAGAATAGCTTTTCTTGTTATGTCTTGTAGTACTGTGGATTGAACACAGGACCTTCACCTAGAGCTATGTCCCCATCTCACC